GAGAATCATGAACAAATTGTTGTGTTAGAAAGAATAGATAATCATCGTATGAATGTGCGATAGAATGAAGACATTTCACACATTTTATCGAACGAGGAAATTGTCAGTGACATAACAGTAATGAGAACTTATTAACAATGAAATGTTGAACAGGTGAATGAGGGGGAAAAGTACGATAATGACAGTTGTGTCATTTTATTGTTTTCCATATGAGATTGCAGCGATTGAGCCTGGTCTGAGTCAGATAAATTAGCGTAAGGTATGCATGTAAATAATGGAGAAACATAGTTTCCTTTTGGTCAATTGCATATAGGCTTAATCATTGGCAAAATTGTGCAGGTTGATAGAAAATTACGAAATACCGAGAGGTAGTGTATGACCTTTTTTACAGGTTGATATTTTAGAATGGTTTAATCCAATAATCAATTGAAAGTAGAAATTTTGATGATAACAAGTTGGAATGGGAGTATCTATTGAAAAGTGTCAAGAGATATTATTATTCTATGGCACTTCGACTGAAATCAATCTGATGGAATAATTACTCAAGGATATCTAATCGAGACGAGCGAAAGTATAATAATCACCTAATTGTAGAGAATATCAGCTAGGGAATGAAGGAAAGAAAAATCACTTCTCCATATCACACCATTTAATTGAAACTGCATGTTACGATCAACTATTCATGGGAGATTAATGTTTACATGTGTTTATCACCCGTCTCATACTAAGTAGACATCGAATCATCATGGCTTACTGAGCATCCATGTGAGTTTCGCCTCTTACCTACTGCTCACTAAGCACTGTCTGTCGATCAATCTAAAGCAGTTTATCTGTTTTCATTCAATACACTACTAATGAAGCATACATGTTTCCACCCTATGTTTTGGTATTGTCTGACGGTATGATTAAAGTTGTGTTCGTTTTTGAATTGCATAAAATAGAGGATGAATTAGTATCAGCTAAATTTTCTTCTTTCTTTTTTTGTTGTTGCCATAAAGCAAGATGAGGACATGGATGTTTGTCTCTTTTCCGTACTGATATGAATCTTGATCATGTCTAAATAAGATAAGTATTCAATCATGAGGCTACTTTATAATTTTTCATTTATTTTCATTATGAAACAGACGAGACGAATAAACAACGTGGATTGATGAGCTTTCGAGATGAGGAAATCAGGACGATCGTAAGAAAAAATGACACCCTTGTTCATGATCAACGATGAAGTGCAATTCAGGACATAAACGTGTTGAACTATCTCTTTCGAAAAGTCATCATTTTCGATTGATTAGTTTCGTGTCTACTGTATGACAGTTGTGAGAAACAACATCATCTTCTTCTCTCGCTTTCACATTGACCCACGGTCATCGCATAAGTGTTCAATTAGCCACTTGTGTCTATATTTACATGGAGAATGATCATCCGTGGTTTGAATAGCTCAATGATAATATTGTTTATTGAATATTGTTGATGATCCACTTGTTTCCTCCATAACAATAAACCCTGTGCAAATTAATTGAATACTAATTAGTTCATATATAGAAGATGTGTCTTCAGTTGAATAAATCATGGATTTACCCGGATTAGGCTTGTCTGATGGATGGTGTTTCACCATGAATTTCTCATAAATTAATATAGTTGTCTTCGTCCGTGTATCTTCGAGCATTCCATTTCGTTCATGGAAATGTAGTGCAGTTGTACGGAAGATGATCAAATGTGATAAATTTAGAAAAAATTTTCCATCGTGTTTGTCAATTTTTTATGTGGGACGCAACTTTGAAATGGGAATGTCGATGCATAGAATTGAAATTACTGGTTTTTCGTAATTAAACGTTGAGGAATTGTTTCAATTATTCTTAATGGATGTGAATAACTGCTATCTATTCGAAGTGGAACATTTGCTATTCCACCCTTTTGATTACCCGAAATCAATGTGACAAATTGAAATAAAATACTATCGTGATTACTTCCAATTTTTATTTAGCAGAGACCTCGTTGAATAATTTGGTGCAACGGTCCTAGAGAAATATTTTTGCCGATCAATGATGATTAACGTGAATCTAATATTTGACTTTCATATTGGTGATATCTTGGCAATCATTTATCATGCTAGTGAAGATGTATAATAAAAAATGTCAAAAATTTTATTTAAGTGAAAGGTTTAGTTCTTTCTCGCATTATCTTTTTAGGCTATTGAAACCTTAATGAATTAGTGTATTAGGTATTAACAGTTCAAATTCGTTTCTATATATAATAGAAAGAATATTCACCGAGTCTAACATGAACATATAACGTGTTTCAAATAATTTCCCGAATACGGAAAATCTTTATAAATCGTAATGTTAGATAAAAAAATTAGCACATAGGAACAGAAATTTCAATACAAATAAGTATCAGAGATTATCTTGCTTAGTGAGAAAGATGAACGCGAAAAAAATGATGATATCATTAATTTGAGTAGAAAAAGTTTGCAGTTTTTCGACATAGATGAAACTAAAAAAAAAAAGCTGTTGATATTTAGTTTAACGTTTACTATAGTCTGTTGTTCCTGATCTAGTTCCTTCAAAAGCATCTGTTGATACTTTCTTTTCATCTAATTCATCGAACCAACTGTCTACGCCACCCATGAGAATTTTTACAACATACTAAACAAAGGAAAATAATAAATAACTCACAATGATTCAATATACAGAGTAAAACTTACATCACCATAACTGAATGGAAAAGATTTTCCTTGACATTTCAGAATTTCTTGCTTTTCATTTTTATAATCATCAACGACATCAAGATTAGGTATTGTTGTATCCCAATCGTTTAAATATGACATCGCTTCATTATCGTCTTCAGAGAGAGAGAGAGAGAGAAAAATAAATGATTTAGTCAAAATTCATTTCTATTTCAGTCTATATCGAACGTTAATAATTCTACTAAAAATTTCTTTTATTACCTGTACAAGCAATAATTGTAACTGGAATTCGTTTTGTTGGCTTCCGCTCAGATAGCAAAAACTGTCTTAATTCCTGCACTTTCAGATTACCATAATCATCTGTTGGTGCTCCATCTGTAGCTAAAAGAATGAGTAGGTTTCGTTCTTGAATTTGTGCTTTTTTATCGCGAAGAATTTGTCGAAAAACTCGAACAACTGGTGTTGCACCTAAAATCATTTGAAAAACAAATCTTTTTATTCAAAAGAATATATATTTTATAATATGCCTTCTGGAGGTAGAGCAAACATAATTTCCAACTCGTCTGAACTTCGTACATGATATATTGGTTCACGATTGAGAAAGTATACATCAACACCATCGGGATCGAGTGTACTAGCTAAATCAACAACAATCGATACTGTCCGTTTCAGTTCATCCCCTATTGAAATAAGTAAAACAACAATTTAGAGTTAACAGCAAGTATTGAATTTTTTTACAGCGAGTTGGTGCCGTGTCGTATGGACCAGAAACGTCACCTTGAATCATGAAAAAAATAAGAAGTTGATGAGTTCAATAGCGAAATGAAAATTATGGAATTATTCACTCAATTCTGTATTCATTGAAGCTGAATCATCACAAATGAAAACAATTTCATAACCCTTTAAGCTACGTAACTTTTCAGCAAAAGCATTATTGACTAAAATTAAACAAAGTAATTACAAGGAGTGAAGTTTTTTCGGATACTGATAAAAGGAATCAAATTAACAAACTTTCATAACGACGGATAAATTGCTGAAATTTAGCGTTAAGTTCTTCATCGGACACAATGTGTTGTCGATTGTCGTCTTGAACAGAATGATAGTTATAGCAATTTACAAAATTCGTTGAATCTCGTGCCGTTTCGATACATGCTTTTCGAGACATCTCGATAACGAATTAAAATTTTTTCCTCTACTTAATATGTTTCAAATAATACAATCTAAACACGAAAATCTAAAAACAAATCCATGAAATCATCAATTCATGTTTTCTGTCATATAATTTCTGAAATGCGGAATTCAAAAAAGTAAATTTCAGAGACTTCACTTGCTTTGAAACATTCAAAACATAAGCTTAATGATGTTAGCTAAACACTGCATAAGCATTCATTCTGTACGTTTTCAATTCAGAGCAAAGGAGCAGCATAGGTATCCTCACAAAAAAATTACATTTTTCTTGTTTTATGATAAATAATTTTTTTGTGACGTGTGCCTGTGAAAAAATATAAATATTTACTCTCTATAGCAGATGCAATAAAATAGACTTCAATCTCTCTACACAACACATACACATACGTTAGTAGTTAAGTTCGACTTACTACGGTTGCAAGAAAAAATTTTCATATGTGTCCTGTTTTCTTCTAATGTTTACTGATTTAAACAGTATATACTTTTAGTGTTTCGTTTTTTTCTTTTACGATCGTTTCTCTTTCTGTTCTTCTACTTTCCACCGTTAAGCACTTCCTTTTTTCTACTACTAATGTCTGGAGAAATGATCATGACTGACTCTTACTGAATAATCATTGCTCTCTTAAGGAGCACATAGATTTTTAGTAGCTAAGATATTACTCTATTGAATTCAGCTGACAGAATTATTCATGACATACAAAATAACTGTTTATTCATGACGAATAATCATCTAAGTGTATTTGCTACTGTATCACCATTGAGTCACCGCTTGACATTCTGTTTTTGATAGCTTAAGGTATAGAAATTGATCGAAAATTCATGGATAATGAGTTTCTAAAGTCTTAATTGATCATTTCACACTTTTTCAAAAAAAAACACTGGTTACACTGCTCGATGGAGGTTTCCAACTATTTTCGCTTTTTTGCAAACCATTCATTCTTCTCCCTCAATAAATGAAACTTTGCTTTCTGCGAAAAAAACAAGTGTAATAAAATCGAGTGACGCCATGGCGCAGTCCAAAACTGTGTATGAAACACGTGTGCTTCAGAAGTATTGACACCTTTTGTTTGCTTCCAACATATTTTTGTAATAGAAGCTCTGAACGAATTGATAAAATATCTAAATAATACGTTGCTTCGCAACATAAACTACGTGATGTTGCAAATTGATATCTAACGAGCACATTTACTAGTAGCTTCTACTCTGAAAACAAAAGACTCATGAATCAATATCGATCTGTGAAATTCACATTTTTACGTCGTTCACTGCTAATATATGTCCTACATAGCACAAAAAGCAAACAATTGACTGCGAAAAACTACTCTCATATGCCTTTTCCGTTTTCCATTGTCAGAATACATATTGAGAAGTATTGAAAATTAATCAAACTATAAGAAGAGAAAATTGTAGCAACAACAAAACATCACATCCTTCGTTGTATAGGATAGTCTACTTATATCGTTTTATACATAAATCTTTCGAGCAATCTTTTCCGAAAAGTCATCATTTTCGATTAATTAGTTTTCTCTCTTTCCTATGACAGTTGTGTGAAACATCATCAGTTTTATTTCTACATTATTCACCAGCACAATAACAAATCACATAAGTGTTCAATTAGCTACTTGTGTCTATATTTACATGGATGATTATCAACCATGCTTTGAATAGCTCAATGATAATACTGTTTATTGAATATTGTTGATGATCCACTTCTATTGTCAATAAAAAAAAAGTATCCTATGCAAATTAATTAAAAACTGACGATATGCATCTATACACATGGATGATAGTTCAACAATAAATTTTCACACTATTTCATAACATGCACTCAAGTACATTTTCTCTCTGGATAATCGTAACTCTCGGATAAAAAATCAATATTATGCACGTCCGTCCGCCGCCATTTGATGTTGAAATAGATATCTAACTTCAAAAGTTGCTTCAAACCTATTTGTCCTGCCGACAAATATAAACGAAAAATGAGGACATCCACATCATGCCTTGAGGAGAATAATCACCGATATTTTCTCTTCATTTCGTTTCGTTTCGTTTCTATTATATTCACAATAGAATGATCGTCACCTGCATCGAACAGCGTCTATGTATGACAAATCTTGTCTCCGTTTCT